ACACAACTGGGCCCTCACCGGTGTGGCTCAGTGGATAAGGCCTTGGCCTGCAGACGTAAGGGTCCCGGGTTCGATTCCGGCCAAGGGCAGGCTCCTCCCTGGTCGGAGTGCGTGCAGGAGGCAGCCCATCGACGTTTCTCTGTCTCTCCTTCTCTCTAAAAATCAATGGGAGCCCTAACCCGTGTGGCTCCGTGGACAGAGTGTCGGCCTGCAGATTCAAGGGTCCCAGGTTCGAATCCGGTCAAGGGCATGGACCTCGGTTGCGGGCACATCCCCAGTGGGGGGTGTGCAAGAGGCAGCTGGTCTATGTTTCTCTCTCATGGATGTTTCTGACTCTCTATCCCTCTCCCTTCCTCTCTATAAATAAAAAAAAAAATCAATAAAATATTTAAAAAATTTGCAAATTGTATAACAAAAAATTCTAGAATGTATGAAGATGTCCTGCCAATCATTAGGCAAGACAAAAAAATAAAAAATTAAATAAAAAAAAAGGAAAAGAAAAAAGAAATACAGATGCCACCTGGCTGTTCTGCGATTACTTTGACGACCTTTTCCGAGTTTGAATTTTCTCCCTGAGACGGGCACACTGTTTTTAAAAATATATATTTTATTATCATTTTATTTTATTTTATTATTATTTTTTTTTACAGAGAGGAAGGGGGGGGGGGGGATAGAGGGCTAGAGACATCGATGTGCCCGCAACCAAGGTCCATGCCCTTGACCGGAACCAAACCTGGGACCCTTCAGTCCGCAGGCCGACGCTCTATCCACTGAGCCACACCGGTCCCGGCGATTTTTCTAACATTCCGTGTACCCGGGGTTGGCATTTTTATTTTCTAACTTGAAGGAACCGAATAGCAGCCCCCTTCTCCCCCGCTCCCCCGCCTCCCCTCTTCAGCGAGGGCCGCCCGTTCTCTTACAAATGCCCGAGGCACCGCCGCTAACGCTGAGAAATAGGGAACTAAATCGACCTTGATGAAGTGTGTCTTCTTCTGTCTCTGCCGGGGAAGTTTATTCCGGGGGCCGTGGCGGCGGCAGGCAGGCATGATGGGCGCTAACGGCTGCCCCCCCCCCTCCACCGCGGGGAGCAGGCCTGTCCGTCTTCCTGATGGATGGAGTGCGCGCCCCGAGGTGGGTCTGCTGGGGTGCTCAAGGCTGACGCGGGCGCTGACAGGCTTCTCATCTTGATCACCGAGGGGCCCGAGCCGGCTGGCTGCCGTCCCGCCCGCGCCCGAGGCTGCCCTTCACGGCTGGGCTGGCCAGTCTGCCTCCCGCTCCCATCAGACACTGTCTCCCCGCAGGAGGGCGGGAGGGGGGAGGCCTCCTTCCTCAGGGCATCCGCTCGCACGTTACCGGGGCCTGAAGCTGGCGAGTTCTTTTTTTTTTTTTTTTTTTTAATATATTCTATTGATTTTTAAAAATATATATTTTATTGATTTTTTTTTACAGAGAGGAAGGAGAGAGATAGAGAGCTAGAAACGTCGATGAGAGAGAAACATCGACCAGCTGCCTCTTACACACCCCCTACCGGGGATGTGCCCGCAACCAAGGTCCATGTCCTTGACCGGAATCGAACCCGGGACCTTTCAGTCCGCAGACCGACGCTCTATCCACTGAGTCAAACCGGTTTCGGCTTCTATTGATTTTTTAGCAGAGAGGAAGAGAGAGCGACAGAGAATTAGAAACATGGATGAGAGAGATTCATTGACCAGCTGCCTCCTGCACACCCCCTACCAGGGATGTGCCCGCAACCAAGGTACGTGCCCTTGACCGGAATCGAACCCGGGACCTTTCAGTCCGCAGGCTGATGCTCTACCCACTGAGCCAAACCGGTTTCGGCTTCTATTGATTTTTTAGCAGAGAGGAAGAGAGAGCGACAGAGAATTAGAAACATGGATGAGAGAGATTCATTGATCAGCTGCCTCCTGCACACCCCCTACCAGGGATGTGCCCGCAACCAAGGTACGTGCCCTTGACCGGAATCGAACCCGGGACCTTTCAGTCCGCAGGCCGGCGCTCTATCCACTGAGCCACACCGGTTTTGGCGGAGTTGGTGAATTCTTGATCCTCCCTGTTCACGCCGGACTCAGTCCCCCCGCAGGTCCCGGGGGCAGAGGGGCGGGCGCCTGAGCGAGCTGCGGGAGCTGGGAAAGTACGGGTGTCCTGTCCCCACAAGCTCGGTCCCCACGGCCTGGGACGCCCTCGAGCAGACACTCCGGAGGAGGCCCAGGAGGACGCAGGAATCACCGTCAGGGTTTCAGTGGGGACAGGCCTCAGGGAGGTCATGTATGATGGAACCGTGTGCTTGTATGTAGCTGGGCGTTTTGCCACGGACATGGGCTTGCGGCGGGAGAAGACACGCTATGTACACACAGGATGGTCACCGTTCTGGTGTGTATCAATGCCGTGTGTGTGTGTGTGTGTGTGTGGGCACGTTATGGGGTTCGATTTTTAAAAAATATATTTTATTGATTTTTTTACAGAGGGGAATTGAGAGGGATAGTTAGAAACATTGATGAGAGTCATCGATCAGCTGCCTCCTGCACGCGCCCCACTGGGGATGTGCCTGCAACCAAGGTCCATGCCCTTGACCGGAATCGAACCTGGGACCCTTCAGTCCGCAGGCTGATGCTCTACCCACTGAGCCACACCGGTTTTGGCCGGGGTTCGATTTTTGCATCCCTCCTGGGACTTTTGCAGCCTTGGGGACAGGAGGCACTGAGACTGGGTTTTTGGGGATTGGGCTTGGATTTCAAGGGGTGACTTGGTCCCGGTCCCCCTTTTGCACGGGTTCCTCCGGGTGCTGCTCTCCTGGGGATGGGTTTCCGCAGGTGTCACCCCGGGGTGGGGTGCCAGGCGGCACGTGGCCAGGCCCCAGCCTCGGGCCCAGACCCAGCAGGTGTGGGGCTGACACGCCGCGGATGCCCGCACGTGGGCGAGCTTTGCAGCCGCACCTGGGCCGCCGCCCTTTCCTGCGCCTCCGGGCAGGCTGGCAGGGAGACAAGTTTTTTTTTGCTTCTCTTTATTCTTTCGCAGCGGGACCGCTATCTGAGGCTTTTCCTGCAGCTGCAGAAGGCCGCGCGCCACGAGGCCCCGAGGAGGAGGGAGGCCCTCGGAGGGACCTGGGTTCGGATCCCGCCCCTGGATGCATTGCATACGGTGCAGGGGAGCGCGCCCCGCCGTCCCCCCGTGCGTGCGGGCCTCAGTTTCCCCGCCAGCCCCCAGCCCGCAGCCCGCAGCCTGCACGCGCCGCCCCGCCCGCCGGACATCCCGCCCCCGGGGGGCTGCCCACGTCGCGGGCGCCTTTCCGCACACACGCCTGTCCGTCAACCGCCGCCCACCAATCAGGCCGCGCCTGCCGCCGAGGGGGTCCCGCAGGCCACGCCCCGTCTCCCCCAGCAGCCCCCGGGGGGCTGCCCACCTCGCGGGCGCCTTTCCGCACACACGCCTGTCCGTCAACCGCCGCCCACCAATCAGGCCGCGCCTGCCGCCGAGGGGGTCCCGCAGGCCACGCCCCCTCTCCCCCAGCAGCCCCCGGGGGGCTGCCCACCTCGAGGGCGCCTTTCCGCACACACGCCTGTCCGTCAACCGCCTCCCACCAATCAGGCCGCTCGAGCCTCCGAGAGGGTCCCGCAGGCCACGCCCCCTCTCCCCCAGCAGCCCCCGGGGGGGGGGACTGCCCACCTCGCGGGCGCCTTTCCGCACACAAGCCTGTCCGTCAACCGCCGCCCACCATCAGGACGCGCCGGCCGCCGAGGGGGGGGGTCCCGTCCCTCAGGCCACGCCCCCTCTCCCCCAGCAGCCCCCGGGGGCCGCCGGCCCCGGCGCCCAACCGCCCCGGCGGTGATCGACAGGCGGGCGGGCGGGCGGAAGCCGCGGCGCCTGCGCACTGGGTGGGCGCAGCGCTCCCCTCGGGCCGGGCCGGCGGCTCCCAGCAGCCCCCGCGCCGCGCCTGCGCAGAGCGGGGGAGGCTTTTAATTCCATTGTGGGGAGGACGGCGTTATTTTTATTAACCGGAGGCGGCGGCGGCGGCGCGGCGGCGGGACCGTAAGTGCGGGCGGCGGCGGCGCGGGCGGGCGGGGCCGGCCGGCGGGCGGCCGGGAGGCCGGGCGGCCGGGCGGGGCGGGCGGGCGCCCCCGCGGCCCGGCCCCAGCGCCTCTCCGTCCTCTCCCTCCGCAGCCAGGCCTCGCCGCCCGGGCATGAGAGTCGGCGGCGGGCTCGCCAGCGGCGGCGGCTCCGGCGGCCCCGGCGGCGGCCGGCGGGCGGAGATGGAGCCCAGCTTCCCGCAGGGCCTGGTCATGTTCAACCACCGGCTGCCCCCGGTCGCCAGCTTCGCCCGGCCGGCCGCCCCCCCCGCGGCCTGCGCGCTCGGCCCGCCCGCGGCCCCCGCCGAGCCGCCGCCGCCGCCGCCGGACGTGACTTTCAAGAAGGAGCCGGCGGCCTCCTCCGCCGCCGCCGCCGCCGCCGCCGCCCCGTCCCCGTCGGCGGCCTTCCCCGCGGCGCCGCGCACCCCGTGGGGCTTCCTGCAGCCGCTCGTGAGCATCAAGCAGGAGAAGCCGGCCGACCCCGACGAGCCGCCGCCGCCGCACCCGCACCCGCACCCGCACCACCACCACCACCACCACCACCACCACCACCCGCCCTTCGGCGGCCTGTTCGCCGGCGCCGAGGAGCGCGGGCCCGGCCTGGCCGGCGACCCGGGCGGCCCCGGCGTCATCCAGGACCTGAGCTCAGTCCTGCACCCGCAGCCGCCGCCGCCCGCCCCGCACCCGCACCCGCACCCGCACCCGCGCGACGGCCTGCTGGGCGCCGAGGAGCCCAAGCCGGACCACACGCACGGCAAGAAGGCCAAGCGGCCCAAGCCGGAATCTCAGGGAACCAAAGCCAACAAGCGGAAGGCGCCCGGGGGTGCGTCCTCCTCCTCCTCCTCCTCCTCCTCCTCCTCCTCCTCCTCCTCCTCCAAGCCGGGCCTGGCCGCCCCCGGAGGAGCCTCGGCCGCCGCCGCCGACGGGGAGGCCGCGGGCGCCGTGCTGTCGCCCAGCCAGAAGCCGCACGTCTGCGACCACTGCAGCGCGGCCTTCCGCAGCTCCTACCACCTGCGCCGCCACGTCCTCATCCACACGGGCGAGCGGCCCTTCCAGTGCGGCCAGTGCCACATGGGCTTCATCCAGAAGTACCTGCTGCAGCGGCACGAGAAGATCCACAGCCGCGAGAAGCCCTTCGGCTGCGACCAGTGCAGCATGAAGTTCATCCAGAAGTACCACATGGAGCGGCACAAGCGCACGCACAGCGGCGAGAAGCCGTACAAGTGCGACAGCTGCCAGCAGTTCTTCTCCCGGACCGACCGGCTGCTCAAGCACCGGCGCACCTGCGGGGAGGCCGGGGCCAAGGGGGCCCCCGGAGGCGGCGGCGAGCCGGGCCCCGCGGCCCCCCCGGGCGCCGTGCCGGGCAGCCTGGCCGCGCTGTCTCAGGGAAGCGGCTCGTCCAGGAGGAAGTCCAAGGCCAAGAGCGCGGCCGCCGCCGAGAACAAGGAGCATAAGGCGGGCAAGGCGGGCGAGCCGCCGCTGGCCAGCGGCCTGGGCATGCAGACCTACTCGGTGGAGATGCCCGCCCTGTCGCCGGGCGGCCTGGACGAGCTGCAGAGGAGGGTGCCAAAGCTCATCTTCAAGAAGGGAGGCCGGAAGGCCGCCGACAAGACCTACCTGAACTTCGTGGCGCCGCTGCCCGAGCTGGTGGGGCCGAAGGCGCTGTCCGCGAAGCCGGGCGGCCTGGGCGGGGCCGGGGGCGCCGGCGCCGAGGCCCTGGGCGGCCTGCTCCCGGGCGGCGGCGGCAAGCAGGGCCCGCTGAGCAGCTACGACGACGCCATGCAGTTCTCCAAGAAGCGGCGCTACCTGCCCTCCGCCGCCAGCAACAGTGCCTTCTCCGTCAGCGTGGGCCACATGGCCGCCCAGCCCTCCGTCATCCAGGCGGCCGGCGCCGGCGTGCTGGAGGGCGAGGCCCCGCTGGCGCTCATGGACGCGGACATCAAGGCCTGCCACGACAAGTCCGGCATCCCCGACGAGGTGCTGCAGAGCATCCTGGACCAGTACTCCGGCAAGGCCGAGAGCCAGAAGGAGGACCCCTTCGGCCTGGCCGAGCCCCGGGTGGACCTGCACGCCTCCGGGGAGCACGGCGAGCTGGCGCCCGAGGGCGGCCTGAGCCCGGGCGCCCAGGCCCCGCCCAGCGACAAGGCCCTGGTGCTGCAGGAGTACTCCAAATACCTCCAGCAGGCCTTCGAGAAGTCCACCAACACCGGGTTCGCCCTCGGGCACGGGTTCCAGTTCGTCAGCCTGGCCTCGCCCCTCCACAACCACTCGCTGTTCCCCGAGAAACAGATCTACACTACGCCCCCCCTGGAGTGTGGCTTCGGCCAGTCTGTTACCTCAGTGTTGCCGTCCTCGTTGCCAAAGCCTCCTTTTGGGATGCTGTTCGGATCCCAGCCGGGCCTGTACCTGTCCGCTCTGGACGCCACCCACCAGCAGCTGACCCCTTCCCAGGAGCTGGACGATCTGATCGACTCCCAGAAGAACCTCGAGACGTCCTCGGCCTTCCAGTCCTCATCTCAGAAGCTGCCGAGCCAGAAGGAGCAGCAGAAGGCCCTGGAGCCCTCGGCCAGCTTCCCGCTGCCCTCTCCGGAGCTCGCCGGCCCGCTGGACGCCCAGAAGGACATGGAGCCGCGGGCCACCTACCAGATCGAGAACTTTGCACAGGCGTTCGGGTCTCAGTTCAAGCCGGGCGGCAGGGTGCCAATGACCTTCGTCAGTAACTCCAACGGCGAGGCGGACCCCAGAGCCAGGACTGCGGTGTCCGATTTCTCAGGGTACACAAACATGATGGCCGACGGGAGCGAGCCGTGCAGCACGCGCGTCAAGACTCCCACCAGCCAGAGCTACAGGTAAGCCCCCGGGCGGCGGCCGGGGGTCCCAGGATGCGATTTCTGTTTCGTTCCGAGAACACTGCCATTGGAATGTTTGTACACGATCCTCTTAAGAATGATGTAATGCCCTTTCAATGCAACTTTTCATATTTAGTTTATTTTGTTAGCGTGATTTTAGCTCTGTTTCTATTATGATTTTTAATGGAAATCGATAGATTAAAAATAGTTTGACATTCAAAAGTGACAATGTCTTAGCAATCAAATTTACATGTATAGAGATGGTCAGGGAATAGCCCAAAAGTTTTAAATGCAAAAAAGTACAAAAAATAAAAAAACCAAAAAAAAAGGGAGAAAACAAAAAAAAAACGATGTAAAATACAGAACAAAAAAAAAAAAACTTTGTTGCTAGGATTAAGGTTATTCTAATTGCTTTACTCTCAGGAAAGTGTAATAACGCATGGGAACTCTGTACGCTGTCGCTGTGATGGAATATCCGGTTTACAGATGGTATTCGCTTCACCATTCGAGTAAGGGATCGGAAACATTTCACGTGCTCTGTCTGGGCCGACAGGATCTCCATTTCCCCGTCTGAGGAAGGGGTGGAGAGAGAACATTTCAGATCGCGATGCCGCCGTGTGCGCGCGGCCTCTCACTGTGCTCTGAGCTTCCACCACGTCCCCCCGCCGGCAGGACAGAGCCCCCGGGGCCTCTGGGCCCAGCCCGGAACCATAGCTTTAATGAAAGAAGTCACAACTTTTAAAAAGCACCCGCTCCCTGCCCACCTGTGCCGTCCACCGACAGGCAGCTGGCGCTGGCCCAGGGTCGGAGCCGAGCCGGGGTTCGGGGTTCGGACCCCGTTGGGGTGACTAGTTCTTTGGAATTGGGGGTGTGTGGTGTCACACATAGCCCGGAGACATCTCCTCTGTGCAGGTCACCCGCACTTCTGGGTGTCTGTTTTTTTTTTCTTTTGTTTTTTTTTTCCTTCTAAACCTACCCTCTTTCTAAGGGTTGTGGCCCTCCTCGACCTGACAGTTTCAGTTTTAGAACGAGCTACATTCCAATGAGCATTTCACTGGCCCGCGGCGTCCAAACACCAAACAGTAATGAGAGAGACACCTGCCCCTCCCAGCTTGAACCACGGGAGAGAACCCACGCAGGTCTTTACGTATCGGGACGCCCCACGTGCTTGGCGCCCGAGCGCCGGCCGCGGTGTGTAATCCCAGCCGGTGCCGTAGCCAGCGGGAGGGCCGGCCCGCCTCCCAGTGACCTCAGAGCCCCTCGGCGGAGCCGCAGCCGAGCGCAGGGGCGCCCGTCAGTATTGTGCGGGGTGGGGGGTCGTGGGGAGGGACCCCGACTCGCCGCCCACCCGCATTGCCATTTGCAGCTGCTGGTGACCGGCTCTGCCCCAAACCACTCTCAGCCATTGTGTTTTTTTCCTGGTGACGTTTTCACCTGCCCCGGGTGTTGCTGCGGTGAGTCCTGTGTACTCTCGTGGTGGTTCAGGCTCCCGCCCCGCTGGCGTCAGGAAAGCACCACTCACCTTTGTTTGTTTGCCCCTCGTTGTGCAACCCGCCTGCCCCGGCTTCCATGGACGATGCAGTCATTAACTTCGTGCGAGCGCACGACGCTTCTGTTACGAAAGCAGTGTTTGGGAAACGAGGGGTCATTAAGATGGTTACAGAATACTAGTTTATTCCCCCCCTTCCTCCTTTCCCCCCTTAAGCGTGCTTCTGCCAGCTGAGGGTCACCTCCGAGCCACTGCAGGATTCTTAGAAGAAGAAAACGTGTTTAACCCTCTTACACCCACTTGGTTCTAAAGTCTGTATTTCTCATTTGGGGGACGGGGTCCAGGTCTGTGGGGGCGGAGAGGGCCTTCCCGCCGGATCCCCGATGTGCGGTCCCCGCGTTTGTTTTATACAGGTTTTGGATTTCTCTAACTTTTATTGTGTGTACTGAAACTGCATATGTATTATTCTGATTGTTTGCTCTAGTTTACTACCAATAAAAGACCCGTTAATCACAAAATCCGAAAAGAGGCGTCCTCTGCTTCCTGCCCGCCACCTCTTCCAGATCTTTCTGTGCCTGCGTTTCCCGGGGCGGCCACGGGCCAGGGGCCGGCTCTTTTCCTGGTTTGTTTTTTTCCAACCCGAATGTCCCATGTTCCCGGGTTTCTCTGGAAACTGGTTGGCTGTTTTCCCTGTGTTTGAGGGTCGCTGTATGAAAGCAGAGATTTGACAGTCTGGGACATGGGTTCTTGAATCGGGGTTCGCCATCCCACACATCATCCCAGCGGCTATTGGCGCTTCATTCTGAGTTCCAGGATCTGTGAGTTCCTGGCACTTTTTTTTTTTTCCTCGAAAAGGTAATAAACTAAGAGCATGACACAAATACAATCTGTCCAGAGCATCTTCAGCTGGGAGAGAAAAGTATTGTTACGCCCAGGTCAGCAGCGTTGGGAACGGTGGGAAGTGGAGCTGTTAGAAGGGGGAACAGAGGGAGATACTGAAGACGCAGAGAAGGATTTACAGCTTAAAGACGTTAACTGGAGAGGAAGGAGGAAAAGCTGTAGGTGGCTCCGTATAACCGGAGGAAATGGTGCTTTGAAATTCAGTGGCTGCGCATGTTAAGGGTAAAGCTATAGGATGCCCTTTCTGGGGGGACGATCAGGGTTTAGATTGAGCCCGACTGTGGGTTTCCCTGCAGGGGGACGTCCGTGCGTGAGGTGGGCCCGTGAGATCAGCAGGGAACTGGCGATTTCTCTGCCCCGCGCCTGGCCGTTCTCTAGAGCAAAGGGGCCCAGCTGGGTCCCCGGTTCTGGATGAAACCCAGCTGTTGGTCGTTCCACCACCCACTTCGCCCCGCTTTCCCCGTGGGGTGACCCCGGAGAGGGGGGTCTTCGCTCTAGATGTTGGGGTGTGCAGCAGGAAGCTCGCGTCCGTGTCTCCTGTTGTGCGTGCGCTGGGGGGAGGACGGCCGTCCCCTCGAAGCTCGGCGCCCGGCAGGTGGCGGGTGAAGAGAAATGGGACCCAGACCCTGCATCTGAGATGGTTAGAGACGTCTGTACCCGGCCCGGCAGGTGGGAGGGGCCGACAGTCCCTCCCTGGCGCCCGGCGCCCCGCGGCCACTGCTGGTGGTCACAGGGAGGCCCGAGCGTGGGCACAGGACACACTCCCTCGCTCCCAAGTTCATCAAACTGCAGCCCCGCGCTCCAGAGCGGGGGTCTGAGTGCAGACTCCCCCGGTCTGGGTGCTCACGGCGTCTCTGACGGAAGGGCCCGGGGGCGCTGTGCGGGCCCAGGCGCAGGCAGGCTGCCTGGGGCCCTCCGACCAGTCCCGGGACGTTTGCTCCGGGGCCGGCCCTTCCCGGCAGCAGGAGAGCCAGGTCCGCCCGCCCACCCGCTGCGTCCCGCCCTGCGGGGAGGGCTGTGGGAGCGCCTGTGTGTCCAGCCTCCTCCACGGCCACTGAAAACGGACAGCGGCACTTCAGCAGCCGCTGGGAAATCCGCTGTCCTCGCCTGGGTCAGAGAATCATAAAAACGCCCCTGGTGAGATGATGGCTTTAAAAGAGATTATTACTGGGAAGGGGGCATTTCATTCTTCTTTTTAATATAATTTTATTGATTTCAGAGAGGCAAGGAGGGAGAGAGAGAACCATGCATGGTGAGAGAGCATCATGGACCGGCTGCCTCCTGCACGCCCCACACTGGGGGTGGAGCCCGCCACCTGAAAGTGTGCCCTCGACCAGGATCAAGCCTGGTTCCCTTGAGCTCTATCCACTGAGCCACACCGGCGAGCCACACGGAGCCACGAAGTGATTTCCGCTTGCTTTGTCCCTGTTGGCTCTTTAAAAAGAAACAACTTTTTGTTGAAAAAGTGTGCACTGCACGTGAGCGTGTCCCTTCAGCCGGTCCCGTGTACGGTGGACACCCCGCTCCCCGGGGGGAGGCCCACTGGCTCTGGGCAGCCGGTGACAGGACTGGCCTCCCAGTGCCCACACCCGCAGGACACCTGTGTGTGCACGGCCGACCCCAGAACCCTCAGCCTGGGAGCCCGGTCGGTCAGGAGCCCGCGAGGGGCTGCGGATGGGGACCGGGTGCCGGGCCGGTCAGTCAGGGAGGCGGCGTGGCTCCGACTGGGAGGTGCTGAGGGCGTCTCTGTCCGCTGATGAGTGACCGAGCCTCCGCGGAGCCGCTCCCTGACATGGAAGGCTCTCCGCACGGAGGACACGGACACGGACACGGACACGGACACGGGAACGCCGGCGGGGCCAGGAACTGAGCCACGGAGGGAGGGCTGGGCCTCCGCCCCCGGCCCACCCACAGCGAAGCCCCCGGCGCCAGGCGGCTGGGCCCCCGGCGTCGCTCTGCCCCCTCGTCCGTCCCGCTTCCAGCGAGAGCCAGACGCAAGGGGCGCGGGCTGCCTGGAGCTTCGGGACGAGGACGGCTTCCCCCCGGGGAAAAAACATGTTTTACTTATTTTTAAAAACATATTTTATTGTTTTTTCACGGAGAGGAAGGGAGAAGGGATAAGAGTCAGAAACATGGGTGAGAGAGAAACACCCATCAGCCGCCTCCTGCACGCCCCCCACTGGGGACGTGCCCGCAACCAAGGTCCATGCCCTTGACCGGAATCGAACCCGGGACCCTTCGGTCCGCAGGCCGACGCTCTGTCCGCTGAGCCACACCGGCTGGGGCCGGTTCGCCTGAAAGGAGCGGCCGGGTTGCCCCATCGGGCGGCGGATCAGCCGGGCGGCCGGTGGCTCCTGTGCAGGTTGCGCACTCGCAAGGCTCTTCCCCCGAGGAAGCCAACGCAAGCGCTCACCGCAGAGGGAGTTCCTCCTTCTGGGGGTCGGAGGCCGCGGGGGGGGGGGGGGGCGGCAGGCCCCGTGCGCTGGGCCAGGTCGGTGGCAGGATTGCAAAATCGGACCCTCCCTCCGAGGCTGCGTGTCTGACTCCGTGGCCCCCACGGCGGCCGCGGTCCTCGGAGATGAGCGTGGCCGGTGTGGCTCAGTGGATAGAGCGCCCGCCTTGGGACCGAACGGTCCGGGTTCGATTCCCGTCCAGGGCTTGTACCTGGATTGCAGGCTCCCGCCCTGCCCTGGCCCTGGCTGGGGCTCCTGTAGGAGGCGATCAGTGGATGTGTCTCTCTCCCATCCTTGTTTCCCTCTCTCTCTCCCTCTCTCCTCCTCTCTCCTCTCTCTCTCTCTCTCTCTCTCTCTCTCTCTCTCTCTCTCTCTCTCTCTCTCTCTCTCTCTCTCTCTAAAAACCAATGGGAAAATATCCTCGGGGGAGGATTAACGAAAACCAGGCAGACTGGGCGAGGCCCGGAGTTGCCTCTTGCCTGGGGCTACGGTCAAAGGAGGAAAATCCTGGTGAAGGGCTCCAAGCGCAGCCCCAGGAAACAGACGGTCCGTGCCATTGGCCGGGAGTCTAACCTGGGACCCTTCCGTCCGCAGGCTGGCGCTCTATCCACCGAGCCACACCGGCTTCGGCTCATTTTTAAATTTATTTTTTCAGCCAGGAGAAGACTACGCTAGGACTAGGCTCCAGGTAGTTTGTTGGAGACGCGCTTGGCTCTCACACCGGCCGTGAGCGTGAGAGACGGAGGCCGGGCCGGGTCTGTCCTGAGAGGGAGGAAGGAAGGAGGGTTAGGTAAGAGCATGGCGGGGGGCGGAGGGGGGGAAGGGGGGCGGAAGGGGGGGCCGGGGGTGTCAGCCGTCTACTGCAGAGCCAGGCCCCGGTCACTGGCCGGCCGGCGGGCCGTGGGGTTCGAGGACAGCGGAGACGTGGACCGGGGACAGCGGGAGGCTGGGGCCCGCGGTGGCCTTTGGGGGTCCCTGTGGGCGGCTGGTGGACGGAGCGTCCCTCCCCGCGGGTGCCTCGGCCGGACGGTGAGAGCAGGGGCCGCCATGTCCGCACGCCGGTCACAGCGCAGCGAGCGCCTTGTCCAGAGGCCGGCCGAGGGCAGGGATCCGTTAGGTGGTCCGTCTGGTTTACTCTCACCGCCCCCCCCTCCCCCCTGCACCAGAACATTCTGCACCGAGTGACTGGGGCCACATAGACAAAGATTAACGTCATAGGGGAAACGCCAGCCCCAGCAGACAGACGGGTTCGAGGGGGGAGATGGTGATGAGGCCGGAGCGGGTTTGGCCAGCAAACCTCGTCCGGACCCGCCTGGGCTCGGACCCCTGGGGAGCGGGGTCCCCGGAGCAGAGGCTGGTTGGGGCTCTCTGTTCCTATGGGGGGGTGCTCCCCAGCTGCAGAGCGGCTGCAGGAGGAAGGCTTTCCCAGACTGGCTGCTTTTCACCTGCTAAAAGGACATGTTTTAAAATATATATATATATATTTGTGTTGATTTCAGACAGGAAGGGAGGAGAGAGAGAGAGAAACATCCACGATGAGAGAGGATGATGGACCGGCTGCCTCCTGCACGCCCCGCACTGGGGACTGAGCCTGCCACCCGGGCCTGCACCACCCTGACCGGGCATCGAACCCTGACCTTCGGGGTCACATGGAGCCACGTGGTCGGCCGGGCGGGAAAGCAGATTTGAGGACCGGGGACGGAGGCTGCTCTGCCTCCCTGATGTCCGGTTATTTTTATGGTTTCCACGGGAATGATGACGGGAATGGAAATTCGGAGTAAACGTCGGCTCCTTCCTCATTTTCCCCCAAACTCGCAGCTGCCCTCGTCCTGCGGGCGCTCTGCAGGACATCGATAAAAGGAGACAGGGTTCCCTTAGTCACCCACTCACACCACACACACTCACCCGTTCACTCACTCATTCACTCCCCTGTTCATCCGCCCATTCATTCATCCATTCACTCATTCATTGTTTCACTCAGGCATTTACTCATTTATGCATTCACTCGTTCATTCGTCCTTTCATTCACTCATCCATTCATTCACTTAGTCACTCATTCACTAATGCATTCATTCACTCATCCATTCACCGTCCATTCTCTCATCCATTCACTCATCCACCCATTCACTCATCCATTCATTCACTCATTCATTCACCCATTCATT